GTCCTCTTTAACACCTTACACATTTGCATACATTTTTCCCATTACGATGGTGTTGCAGCGACAAAAAAGATCGTAATCTGATGGTGCCATATCTGGAGAATATGGTGGATGGGGGAGAACTTCCCAACCCAACTCCATAATCTTGTGTTGCATCAAACGTGCCACATGTGGACGTGCATTGTCGTGGAGAAGAACAACATTTTTTCGATTGACTAGTGAAGGGCATTTCTGATGAAGGGTTTGATTTAAACATTTCAGTTGCTGACTATAGATCTCTACATTAACAGTTCGCTGTGAATTGAGTTCGAAATGAATTACTCCTTTGACGTCCCACCAAATGTGAAGCATCACTTTCTGCGGATGGAGTCCAGATTTAAGGGCCGGAAGTGTTTTTTGTCTAGGACTGAGCCATTGTTTTTGGCATTTAATATTCGCATAGAGAATCCATTTTTCATCACTGGTGACAATTCTGCCCAAAAATGGTTCACGCACATTACACACCAGAAGAGACAAAGCAACGTTCACACGTTGGAAATGACGATCATCGGAGAGTTCGTTAGGCACCCAAACACCTTCTTTATGGAGATTTCCCATATTTCTTAGATGTTTACATATTATTTTATGAGAGACATGCAATTTCAGGACCATTTCATGAATGTGTTGCCTTGGTTTAGACTCGACAAGTGTCTTCAGAGCATCAATATCAATTCCAACATATCGGCTAATACCATAACAGTTTTTAAAGCTAAAGTTGCCTGAACGAAATTTGCTGAACCATCGTTGATACTTACGAACGTTCAAAACATTTCCATAGACTTCTTTAATATTCTTTGTGGCTACAGAGACGTTGTTTCCTTTCTTGTATTCAAACAGCATTACATGCCGAATGTGTGTCTTGTCATGTGCCATCACTATAAGGGATTAGAGTACACTAAACTTTAAACATTATATAGGCTACACTAAGGTGACGTTTAGGCAGTTCATTTAATAATTATACATGTACGTTTTTTGGGGATTGGTTAATGAAAGTGTTCCAAAACTCGAAATTAATTTCTTGACGACCTAATACGTCCATTAGAAAGATTAAATTATCCAGCTCTATCTCAGTTTATTCTAGGAATAGTGATAGCGTGAGAACAGAGTTCTCACATTATGACTTAAGTGATTTTTTTGAGTATCAATAACACAAAATTTTGACAAATCAGATCAAAATGTTTTAATCTGGTTATTCATTGTACAAAGTTTTCTGTATAGGTATATACAGTCTGATGACACGTATTGATGTTAAAATGTACAATGCTTGTTTCTAATTGAATACAACAATAGGAACATAAATATTGCCATGGTAAATATTTGTACCCTGGCTTTTTACAGACACTAACAATGTGTCTAGACTTTTAGAGAGTTATTTCCAAATTGTGTATTGCTGAGGACACCTGCAACTCTTATAAAACAGCTATCACATCTAAAGTCTAACTTGTGTATCAAATTCATTTACAGCTACAAATAGTTAACACAATCCATAACTTGACAACTTATTAAAACAAAATAATTATATGTCCCTACTTTTTAATAAGAATAAAAGTATCATTCAAGCTGTAATTAAAGTTAAATACTTTTAAGATGTAGACAAAATCCTTCTTTTTTAGAAAAGTATCTTAATTACACACATCTTATGCTTGTTTATTAGATAAAATACTGAAGTTCTTGTGTAAAAGTGTGAAAAATAGTTTTAAGTGTCACATTAACTCAGTTTCTACACAAGTTATTTTACTAGATCACGATTCTCTGTAAGTTATGACTTCACACATAATACAAATAGTTTTAACTGTCACATTAACTCAGTTTCTACACAAGTTATTTTACTAGATCACTATTCTCCATAAGTTATAACTTCACACATAATACAAATAGTTTTAACTGTCACATTAACTCAGTTTCTACACAAGTTATTTTACTAGATCACAATTCTCCATAAGTTATGACTTCACACACATAATACAGATAGTTTTAACTGTCACATTAACTCAGTTTCTACACAAGTTATTTTACTAGATCACAATTCTCCATAAGTTATAACTTCACACATAATACAGTGTACAAGCCTTATGTCACTATATATAATTTTTTTAAGAAAGCTACATTATAAAAGAGATTACATCAAAAGAAAGGATAGCATGAATTTTACACAGCATATACAAACCTTAGATGAAATATAGTTAAATATAATTTTACAACACATGAGGGTAGCAAACTTGAGGTTAAGCTGAATAGATGGTGTACTCTCAATGGAATTTGGGTCTTACTTCTGACAGTACCTCAAAAACGAGAGCACATTACATAATGACTCACCTTATGATTTATGCCCTGGTGTTGGATGTTTGTTTTGTAGCTGATTGTTTATTTTTGCTTGTTTGTTGTTGTTTTTCTCTATCTCCCCATATAATTATAAATATTTATTATTCTGTATATTTCTCTATTTATTGTCAAAAGTAAAAGTAATCATATAATCAGGAGGGTTCTTTATAACATCAACAGTGCCACATATTAAAACTATTACACACGACTACTAGGACATGGATCACCTTATTTTGACAAAGATCAGTGGCAGTGATGTCATGGATTGAGTATCCTGTTTCTGAAACAAGAAGCAAAAGCCATGATAAACGTCAGTTCAGTCTGGTATAAACTTAGCTTCTGATGTCATTCAAGAAAAAATCATCAAAGAAGCAGGAAAACAATGAGCTATATGAGAATCTCAGGTGCTTTCTAAAGATGAGACATTAAAATAAATAAAAGAATAAAACCAATTCATATAAAGAGGCAGTCACTAAGTCCAGCACTTAGAATCACATGATGAAATTTTAGATAATTTATCATTTTAATTTCCTTTTCCCTATTTTCTTCAAAGAGTCACAAAAAATTATTGATATATCTATATTTATTGACTCACTCTATAAAATAAGTCTCAAAACAGAAAATTAAAGTAAACTCACACAGGCCTTGCAACTAATATGTCACAAAATGAATTCTATGCACATTCCAAGTTTCATAATTTTTGTCTTATCTAAAGTTGTTTTTCAATTTTGTGCATGAAATACTCCAACAACACAACCTTGGTAGAGGTTGAAGTACTTGAAGCACCCAAAGAACTCTGCTGAAAACATAACAAGCACAATTCATCCCATCCAAAGCAGGTTAAGCTTCTGAATCAAATCAACAAGCTACACGGCATAATAATTAAGATGAACCAATTGCAAAACACTGGAATGTTGCCCACATATGCAATGAAAACAATTCCAGTTTTATGTAAGGATATGATAAAACTTGAATCAGACTTACTCTGTCTGAAGCCGGAAATGGATCACCATGCACACAGACTAAAGTCAATATGAGGCCTTCCAACATATTGGCACATGTTAAAGCATTTCAGAAAGGAGGCATAAGAATGGGCAACAGAATAAAAAGTTGTAAAAAACAGGGCGTGATTTGGGGTTGCAAGTCCCCTTCCAGGTGCAGGGTGAAAGCCCTCTGAGGCTTCTGCATTTTCAACAAAATAATGCTGGCTTGAAATAAAATTCACAAATTTCCAGTTTACGATAAGTATAATGATCTCCACCATTTTCTTTAACTAGGCCTATCAAAAATAATCTTTTACAACTTTATGAATTTCTTTGATTCTCGTTTCGTCACTTCATTTTTTATAATTTCAGCAGAACTTTTTCTCAATTTGTTACCTCAAATGCATACTTTCCTATTTTGAGAAACGCATGCTGAAAAAATTAAAGTATTCATTGTATTTGTAAAAACATTAGCAATTGTACACCCAGCTTTGTAGGACAGTTAAATTTCATTTTACTAGCTTTACTAATTTAAACACATTTTGAAAGAACACAATCCAGATCCGTCTTGACTTAGGTCAAAGATCTACATTACTACATTCTCCTACATTCACGTGAATCGTGAGATCTCTCCAGTGATGTTAAAAAGGCAGAATTCTGCTGATGCCAGACAATTCTCATTTTGCAATTTTGTACAATTTTGGCAACAAACTATAGTATTTACCAATTTTTTGCACCAACATTTGATGCTAACCAAATTTTAATATTGATGTTTCATTAACATAGTACAACATGCCATCTGTTTATTGTACAGGTAAAAATCACATGTTGTTAACTACATCTGTTTACACGTGCCATATACATGTCAGTTCAAAAGGTAATAATATCATTTAATTAGCTACTGAATTTGAAAGTTGGCAACAGAATTTTGAGTTGGTTATTTGTTTGGCTCCAACTTTTTATGAGCTACTGCATTGCCCGATAACATATACAGTAATTAGTAAAAGTTAACAAATATTTCTTATGAAGATAAAACAAATAGGGAATACTACATAAGAAGATGTAGAAAAATAATGACAGATGAGTTGGAAGTAAACTCTATTAAGGGATATTTACTTTTGCAACTTTCTTCTTTGTTATTCCTTCCATGTGGTGGTTGAACTATTTATTAGGCTAAATACTGAGAAATGGATCTTTCTATTTGCAGTTTAAAATAAAAGCTACATGGTGTTTGTTTGTGGCATTGTTAACTGCTATGAGGTCATTGTGCTAAAGGGCATGCCATATACATGTGTGTTTATATATATATATATATATATATATATATATGTGTGTGTGTGTGTGTGTGTGTGTGTGTGTGTGTGTGTGTGT